ATACAGGTCTGAAATTTTCCAAGTTTGGTAGAACAACACAAATTCTTCCCAAAGATTATGTCAGAGTAACTCTCCATCTGTAAATAAAAGTCCAACTTTGCTGCAGAAGGGTTTGTCAAAAGATTCCAGAAGAAATAAAACCAGCAGCTTTTTCACAGAGATATGCGTGTGTGTTCCAGAAGAAGTCCTGGGTTTTTACTTGGAAAACAACCAGGTGCTGGGTTTTGGAGTTTCAAAAACACCAAGTGCTGGTGTTTTCGAATTTTTGGTTCCCCCTTTCGGATTTTGCGCAAATGGTCATTTTACTCCACTTTAAGACAAAGAAGAGAGGGTTAGTTTCACGCTTTGATGGTCCTCTGTTTTGATGGCATGTTGACAATATTGACGGTTTTGTTTTTGTCCCTGTGAAGAGGACTTCCTCGGGTTTGGTACATCCCAAGACGGGACAACGAAATTTCATGAGTTGTTGTCCCTTCTCAGGGATTTTAGTTTCGCCAACAGAAAAATTCTGCACAGGACTGTCTGATGCATGCAATCGTCCTCAGTACAAAATTTTCCTGTGGAAAATGTAAAAAATGCCAGGATTTTCCCAAACTTTGCCCTGCACAGACTCGCTTGATTAAAAAAAATGTTACTCTGAAGTGCCCCCAAAATCTATAAATAAAAGTCCAACTTTGCTGCAGAAGGGTTTGTCAAAAGATTCCAGAAGAATTGAAACCGGCGGCTTTTTCTCAGGCTGCAGCAGCTCAGTTGACTTTACTGACCATGCAGTCAAACCAGAGAGCAGAGGATTATGCTTCTAAAGATGAGGAAATTCTTCAGGTGATAAAACAAGTACAAATGATTTTCTATAGCAGTTTCAAGTAAATCGAAATACTCTTGCAGACCAAAACGATTCCAAACTTCGTCAGAGATATGCGTATTCACGAGCCGAAATTGGACTTGAATGGATATTTTCGTGTTTCTAAAGCAACTCTCCTTGTGGTGAGAATATCAATTACAGCTGTCCATCTTTTATTGAAATACTCACTTTTTTTCCTTTTGAACAGATTTTGGCAAATATTGTCACCTACATGATAGTGATAGTTCAGTTCCAGCAGCAGGACGATGCAACCGGACTTTACACCGATGGTTCTTTACTCAAGTTGTTGGCACAATTTGGCGCTGCTCGCAATTTAACTCAATCATAAAATATTATGCAATTTTTCATTGAAGTATCAAAACCTTTGGATTTAAGCATGCGCACTCGATGCTCAACTACCTTATTGTCTGTTAACGAAAATAATTTTGAAATCGAATTTTGAACGTAAGGTAGTCACTACGATTTCCATGTTCAACGGAACCAGATGAAACTGTATTCTTAAATATTTTTGATGCACCAAATACATTCTGAATATAATTCTAGATAATGTTACCAAAATATAATATTTACATTCGAAAGATTTCTGAATTGTGCTTGATGTTGCGTGAAAAGGGTTTTAAATTAGGCAAATGAGAATCTGAGTTTTACCATCGCTCAGTAAACGTCATCGGCTTCGATTAACACAATTAAAAAAATGTATACAGTAAAAACAAAGAAATCTTTGTGTAACCTTAAATTTAACTTATTTCGTGCATCAATATTTTTTTCGGAACTTAATTCACATGTTTTCGAGGGTTCAAAGTCTTCAAACTGTGCAGAAGTGGAATTTCACGTGCTTTCACAGGAGCAGCACCTGCGTTGAGAAGTGACATCTATTTTGTTCTTTAAAAGCTTTGAGCTTTCATTTTTATGTTCTCACGTATACACAGCGGGTTTATGTTGTCAGAGAAAAATTCGAGAACTACCCTAGCACTGTAGAATGAGTCATTCATAATTTTAATTAATTTATACTGGAATCTCTGAAACCTGGTTTTGGAACTTTTGTTTAAATGATTCTTTCAAGGAATGGTGTGCGATTTTCCGTGGATTTTGAAATTTCCGGAAGCGAGAAAACTTTCAATCTGACGATGAAGAATCCGACAGCTTTGTTCAATATTCCAATGGATGCGATGCGGGCTGAAAACCACAATAATGAACGACTCAAGACGCAAAATTCTTTAACTCAGTTGCATCGATACATGATGAAGGCTGCCTTTTTCATCGGCCTGATTCCGTGGCACTGCGGAAATTGGCAAAATTCTCCCCTGAAATTCAGCTTTTCTTGGGCAGCGTTTTTCCGTGGAAGAATTCTGTGTGCGTTTCTCATCTTTGGGTTCTCTTACTCAGTTTATCAGGGAATCACTATGCCATTCACGCCAAACAAAACCGTTTTGTGCTCTACAGTTTTATCAGCCTCGCTAATTTTGCCGTCGTTCTGCTCAACCATCAATTGCTTGTCAATCATGCGTCGGGCGGAAAATTTTGCACGCGTTTCGGAAGCGATGCAGGTGATCCAGGTGCCCGAACCCCAGTTTAAGGCGCTTTTTCGGTACACGAAAATTAGAGTCATGATCCCCGTGATTTCCATAGGTTTCGGCCTTGTTGTTATGAACCTAGGGTATATTTTCTTGCCGGAAGAAGGCCTGAGTGTGAGTGGAGGACCTTTCGACAGGAAAGGGGTTCTTTTCCCGTTGTTGTGGACGTTGATGTCCGGGGCAATTGCCTATTATCCTCAGTCAATCAGTTATTTTGCGTTAAAGACCGGTTTAGAGGTTTTGAATAATAACCTAAAAGATTTGCTGACGTGGAACGAGTCTGAGACGAAGATTTCCAAGGAGAAGTTTCAGGAGTTGAGGCGGGTGAAGGCGGATTATTTGAAATTACTGCTGGTGTCTGATGAGTATTCAGACGTGTTTTCAATGAGTAGCTTATCCAATTGCTTCGGAGGAGGGATGATTATTATTTTCAACGGGTTTTTGGTGATGGTTTCTTGGGGAGAATTGATTGGAAACGGGGCTTGGTTGGACTTTTGGTGTTTGGCATTACCAGCCATTTTGTATTACGTCAGACTTGCTTTGATTTGCAAGATGTCTTCGACACCAGCCGACCAAGTGAGTAATATTCCCTAGAGAGCGAAATTCCAGGCATATTTTCCCGAGCAATTGATTCAACTAATACGAATTTCAAGGCTAAGATTGCGCATGAATATTTGGCCCAAGCTGTCATGGAGACAATGCCCAAAGAATGCGAAATTCTGGAGGATTCATACAAAAGGGTATTATACTGTTGAATCAATTGATTTTAAAATTTCATTTCTTTCTAATTACCGTATTTTTCCTCGTTTCAGAAAATGCATTTTCTTTTGAAGGCGTTTGAGGAAGAATTATTGTGTCTCTGGCCTGAATTTTCCGTGTATGGGCTTTTCAGAATGTCGAGGACTACGATTTTAACTGTGAGATTTTGATAGAGGAAATTTCTGAAATGACTTTCAATTTGCGGGCGACATCCTGATAATTCGTTAGAAAAATGTTTACGGTTTCATCGAGAAGTCGATAAATTACGCATTTTTAAATTTCGATGAATAATATTGTGAAATTTTTCCAGATTGTGTCAAATGTTATGAGCTACTTCATCATCCTGGTACAGTTCTACCCTATGAACAACTTGTCATCAAGGAATGCATTTTGCTTACTACGAAGAAAGAATGCAACATCAGCAGCATAAACGACTAATGATGCTTCGGAAAAATTCGAAAAGCGAGTTTTGAAAAATGAAAACACGGAAATCGATGTGAAATCCTCGCGAGACACATTTTGAAAAAAAAAACACGGAAACCTGGGATATTTTATTATAGGCTTTGGAAAAGCTGAAATTGCATGTTGAAAAAAATTCAATGAGTGCGAAATTTCAAGATTGTATGCATTATTTTCAAAATATTAAAATGAAAACTTACTTGCGTTCAACAAGTATAGGAAATTTAGTCATTGCTGATGATTTCAATGAATAATATACAGCATTCAGAAGTGAATTTATTGACGTTTTCTTTTGCAATTTTCTGCTTCGTGAGCTTGACTCTTATATTACTACCGTCAGTCCATTAATTTGCAGGGGTCATTATTTCCATGGAAAATCAATTGTTCATTTGATGTGGATCAATGCAACAGTGTCATTAGGCTGCTAATAAAGTGACAGGCCTCCGAATCCAAAATACTGTACATGTACACTCTGAATCTTTTCAATTTGAAAAGATGATGTTCGACATTTTTCTCGATCCAAAAATCGGTTTGTCATGAATTCTAAATGTTCTGTAACTCATTTGCATAGGTGCCTCACTGTATTTGATTGAGCTCTTATCAGAATAATGTAGTAGAAGTAAAATTGACAAAAAAAGCATACGCATTCTTATTTCGTCTTGTGTTGTCAATATTTCATGCATAGATGTGTTCATAGATCGTCATTTTTTTTTCCACAGTGGGAAACAAAGACTTGATTGGTTTGTCTCATTTCCCCAATTTTTCCAGCAATTTTTCTTTGTGAAATAAGTTTGATTTCTCTTGGTTTCTTTGGTCAGAATTTTTTACACTTCTTTATTGCTCGCTGACGCGTGACGCATGGAAAAATGCAAAATGTTAGAAGATTTACTGTCAATTATTACTTTCGACTTCAGGGAGTCAATCAAGAAGAAACTAATACTGCTGCTAAAATATTAGTTTATCAAAGTATCCCAAGTTTTTACACTTTATTTCATTGCCTTTAAAAATATCGGAGTCTTCTTGCTTAAATTTTCCAGAAAACAGACAAATTGGAGAAATCTGTCAAGAAACTACCAATACTACGAGCACAATTTCCGATTGCTGTTGAAATGGGGTTTCGAACTCATCAACCGATCCGAAATAATCAAAGTTCCTTCATGTGTAGATATAATAAAAATTGTATGTTATTTGAACTTCTTGGGATCGCAAAAAAATTGGGATCTTTTATATCGGCTTCCTTGAGAAATCGAATGTAAACGACTTGATGCATTGATTTCATCGCATTCAATCATGCAAACTCGGTAATATTTTCAATTGTTGCATTTTAAATGAAAGAGACTGCAGAGTAGATTTTTTGGCAACAACTTTATTTTCACCCAAAAACGGACCTAGACTAGACAATATCTAATTCTGAAACCACCTCAACTTCTTTTCTTAGAACATTCATAAAAGCCTTCGAGTTCACTAGCAATTTTTTTTTCATTTTTATCATCTTGTATAAATTCCACCCAAGGTATTTGACGCTTAATTTTGCTACTGACGACGTATTCGGAAGCTTGGTAGATATTTCAACAACTCTATTTGTAAACGAGAACTCTTTTTCAATGGGACTGTCGCTTCGTTTCGTTTAAAATAAATTCCTCTCACAATATATAGAACTTTCTCAAACACATTTGGTTCCCTCCAGCTTCTTCAGCTGCTTCAGCAGTTCTCAACTGCTAGTTTGAACAAAAGAAAAATAACCAAGTCTTGCAGAAATTCCTCACGCACTTTCAACAGCGAAATATTTGCAGTCTATAGTTGAGTCACTGACTTTCAAGTGTCCAGAAAAACCCGAGATACATCTTGTGCTAGTGAAACTAAATAACCTTCTGAACTTTCAAGAAATATGAAGGAAAAAATGGTTGTTTCAGAAGCAGGAAATATCCCACAGGGAGAACAAGATTTTTGAAAACACCAATCATTCATGTGACGTGAAAATCGCCTTTCAGCAATCGCGTGAAGGTTTTCTTGAATTGCTGGTTGGCCAAAGCGTAGCAAAACGGGTTCATAGGACTGTTAGCGTAACACAGGAAATAGGAGAACATGTAAAGATGGTTGTTGACACACCCCTGGGGATCGCTGCAGAACCCCTGCACCAGGGCCAAGATGTGATACGGGGTCCAACACGCGACGAATGCGCCCATGATGACGGAAATTGTTTTGAAAGCCTTTTTCGCCCGATTTTCCGACTTGGATTTCTTTCTGCATTCCTCGGGGTTCTTTTTTGGCTTTTTCAACCTCGAGGCGATTCTTTGTGCCAAAGTCAAGCTTTCTTGATTCACCACTTCTGCCTTATTATTGAGGGATGCTGATGGTTCCTTGCAGCTGGAAATTTCGATGGCAACTGCTGCTGGTTCTGGTTTCAGGACCACAGGTGAGGGTTGACGCAGTGATGGTACCTCAACCACTTCGGGTATTGGGTCTGCTGGGACTTCTTGAACCCTTTCATTGGTCTCAATCCCAGAATCCGCAGAAGAGTCCTTTGCCTCGAGGGTAGATGTGACATGAACAACAGCCTCTATCACGGTTGCCGGTGTCAAGGGGTCGTCTTCCCTGGAAACCTGCTGCTGGGGTTCCACTGGAAGCAAATCCGGTTTCATTAAAAACGCCTGAATCCCAGTTGGTGTGGAAAAACTGCTTCCGAACCCGTGTGGTGGGGGTAAAACGGGAAAAGGACCAGACTCCAGGATTCCATCAGGGAATTGTTTGATCCTGTGTCCACCATTCACATAGTAACTCTGCATGGCAATGTCACTTTTGGTGAGCGGAAGAACCTGGAGTGGGGAACCACCAGAAGATGCCATTGTGGATGGTGGGGTTGCCAACAGAGGCGACTGGACCACTACACTGCTTTCATCAAGGTATCTCCAGTCTGAGTTGTCTGCCAGCTGGAGACACAGTGAACTTGGCCTGCTGAAGGACTCCTGGGCTCTGTGATGCTTCTCTGGCTGGTAGACGCCATTTTGGAAAGTGAAGTAAGGTATGATTGGAGAAGGTGGAGGAGGGAACATGTTTTCCAGGCCTGGTGAAGGCAGAGGCATGTCATTCATGCTGTTTGTGTCATTGATCCAGTATGCATAGCTATTTTCGGGTCCTGCGCCATTTTGAAGCATTTGGTCATAGTACAGAGTTTGAGAGATGTCAACTAAGCTGCCATTGGCAGGAGTTGGCATTGGAGTGAAAATTGTGATTGAGTTCCGAGATGAGAGTGGAGAAGGTGTGGGATTTGAATGAATTCCGTTCATTGGAGGTGGAGTGGGTAGAGGGGTTTTGTATGACCCCTGCCAGGCCTTTGGAGTGGTGGACCCTGACCTTGGGTCATCTGGGCTTGGAAGAACCATAGCTAGACTGCTCAATCTTGGGTTATCTGGTATCTCATTGGTTGCATTGCCTGCAAAATTTGAAAATTGTCATTCAATTATGCTGCAGTGAAATATTTTGAACTCAAATTCAAAAAAATAAAGGAGCAAGAACATGGATTGTCATGCATTATTGTGGTTGAAAAAGATGCAGTACTGTATTTTGATTAAAGTTCACATTTGGGAGAACAGAAAAATTGCTTTGCTTGCTATAAGCATACAACATATAAGAGCAACTGGAAGTAAAATCGAAGATTTCATAAAAATTATACACAATTTTTTTAGAATTCAAACTCATCAGAGGTGTAGGAAATAATTTGGCCCTGTGTCCTACGAGACAGCATACAAAAATAGAGGTTCACTTTTTATTGGCCTTAAGAAAATTCAGGCAGAGACTAAAGATAATCTTGAAGAAGGTAGTAAGGTTCAACAGTACAGTCAACCCCCGGTTAACAAACTGTCCGGTTAATGGCTTTTCGGTTAATGAACCGGGTTCATTTTGGGGTGGCTGGTCCGGTTAACGGTCCATGCAATTTAAAAATCAAGAATAATCATTACCAGAAGGTTTTGGAGTTTGCCTGGGAGTTGTATGAATGGAGGCTGCCTTTTCTTGATTCACAGTTGATGCTGCTTCAGGCGTCTGAGCTTTAACACCAGCAGTAATACTAGTTGAAGAAGAATGCACCAACTCTGCTTGAGCAGCTGGTTTGAAGAAAAAAGAGTCTGTGGCCTTTTGATTTTCAGTAGGTGCAGACTTTGGCTTGGCGAAAAATGATTCTCCTGGTTGCTGAACACCTTGAGTTTGTGGTGCCGGGGAATTTGATTTTGATTTCGGAGTCTCCACTGGTTCAATAACAGCAGCAGCGTTCTGCGAGACTGGTTTGGCGAAAAAGGATCCTGTTGGTTCACTTTTGAGATTATTATTCGGTAGGACTGGTTTCGTATCTGGTCCGTCACAGTGGTCAGTTTCTGGGACTGGAGGAAGAGAGCCAATGTGTTTGGCTGTCATGGAAATGCCTTTGTTGGCTGCTGAAGCATTTGCTGCACCACTGCTGTTATCTTTGACTGCACTGGTGTTGTCATCAGAGTCAAAAGCTGGGCTGCTGGACCTGGAGTCAAACTTCTGTTGATTCTTGTCATCTGCCTTTTTGTTGCCCGTGGATTTTGAGGATGCTTTCTGGCCTGAGGATGATTCAACCTTTTGACCTGCGAAAAAGAAAAGTAAATATTCCACATCGGTTACTAAAAAAAAGACTCGATATTCTTGATGCATGTCATATTAAAAAAATGAATTGTCTCCAATATTGGACTGTCTCTAATAAAGGCTGGGTCATTGAAAAGCTGTTTGTAATAGTAGCTGGGTCGAAGAAGGGAGTGAGTAGAAATAATGCCTAGACTTTTCTTAATCAAATACTGTATACCCATATAACCATGCATCAAACACTACAGAAACACACAATTTCCCATCATAAATTCTGGAAGCAATCCTGTCTAATGTTCCGAGAAGAAATCGCTATGAATGGGTTTTTTTTTCAACTGAGATTATCCATTTTTTTTTTCTTTTTTTTTATTTTGTCCAACAATCTCAAGTGTTGGGAATATGAAAAAAAGCAGTCTAGGATATAAAATGGCTGTATTGAATGCCAGGAAAAAAGTATTTGAATAAACGCTCTGTTTAATAAAACATGTGTAGCATTTTATGGAGATTGGGAGACATTTATACAGTACAATAAAATGTAAGACTCCCATTCGTATATACCTTCCAATTTCAAAACATCGAACACTGACTTTAGATTTATCTTGTTAAGAAATTGGAAGACCCATGGAATCTAATCAGGTTTTCAACTTGATGGAAGAGTCAGAATTGTAAAAAAATATTACTCAACATGAAACATTTGCAACCAATCATTGTAACACACTGATGGAAAATATCAAACTTTCATGTCACTCAGCAAATGTGTGTCAATAAGCCCAAAATTAAGCATAAAAAAGGAAAACGATCTCTTCAAGATTGATTCTTGGAATATGAAGGATTCTTTTCAATCAGTATCATGAGACATGGAGAGGATTTTTGGTGTGCAGATTTAATCAATCAGCAACATACAATATCCACGGTGGAAATTTTTTAAACATGTTTGAAATAAAGTTAATTTGGATTTTCTAAACTCAAACCATTCTGTTCAAATGGTTTGTGTGTCACTCCTGTCTGGATTCTGAAAATAGTGGTGGAATTGAAACTTCATAATTTTAAGGATGTCCCCGTTGCATAGCCTCAAATTCTCAGGATTTTTGAAATTATTCTTAGAATTGAGGAAATAGAAAAACGAGTAATGCACTTGCAAAAGCAATTAACAATGATGATTTTTGTGACTAATTCGACAAATATACTCCCTTTGCTTTGAGAGTCGCAGCCTGTAAAATCACGTGTTCAGCAATGTGAGGCCCAAAAGTTTGACAATGTACTCCTCTGTGATTTTTGCAACATGTTCCCCCCCAAAAGCTAGTTTTGCTAACTCAAAAACTACCATGATAAATAACGTTTGTTGGCTTGATTCAGGAAAGTCCACTCGTAAATCCATTTTCAAATACTGTACCTCCAACAGGAATTATGCAGAAAAAAAGCCAAGTTGCACGCAATCCAGTTTTCACAAAGCATTTTTTGTCAGATAAAATGTGTAAAAAAATGTTTGGAGTTTTGGCCTATATAATCGCATAGAAAGATTTCTACCAATGTTGCTGTGTGAATAAAACTAGTCCATTTCTAAAAAAGTTGTTGAGTAATTCGAGTAGGTGCAGTGCGTAGAATTTCACTGATGTTACAAAGACTTTTTACCTTTTCCTCCTGGCTTTCCCGTGCTTCCAGGTTTGCTGTCTTGCTTCAATAAAGTAGTCTGTGTTTTTGACGAAGTCAAATTGCTCGACTTATTCAACGCGATTTGCATCGCCTTGTGCTTCTCAGCCGATTTCTTCTGCATTTGATACGCAGTTTGATAAATCCCAGCATACAACACCAGCATTACCACCAGAGTGATCCAATAGTACCCAATAATCAATGCCGTGTTAAAAACTGGGTCTTTCAGGAATTGCACCTGACACTCCCCTGGGTTCAGGTCCCTGTACCCAATAAAGTGCTC